GAAGCTAGGTACAATCTTCTTTTTAATATGTACAAATTGTATATAATTCATCATTTTGTATCTAACGCATCCTTTTGTATTCCAGGGTACTTGAGTTCAAAGATTCATTTTGATATCAGATTCCAGGAATTTAGCGACAGTAACCCTCAAGTAGCTTCATGGATAGATCAGATTCCCAAAGAAAAATGGTGCAGGTCTTACGATGAGGAGGGTCGGAGGTTTGGTCACATGACGACCAACCTATCTGAGTGTTTGAATAAGGTCCTGAGGGGTGCACGTAATTTGCCTATAACAGCATTGGTGAAGATGACTCAAAGTAGACTTGTTGAGTATTTCGTCAAGAGACGTGAAAAGATCCAAAAAGCAAAGGCAAAGGGTTGGAGAATTGCAAAAAAAGTTGAGGATATCATCCAAAAAAATGATCAATTAACAGTGAGCCTCCGTGTGCGGGTTTTTGATAGGGACCTGCAGTTATTTGAAGTTGAGGATGCCTACAATCAATCAACTCATGATGCAGGTGACATAATGAGGGTGGACTTGCTCAATCGCAAATGTCAATGTGGACGGTTCACATCTAGAAGATTTCCTTGCAGTCACGTCTTAGCGGTGTGCAAGGTAGAAAAGTTGAACCACTATGATTATGTTGATCCTGTGTTCTCAATTGCACAAATTGATAAGGTATATGTTGCACATTGGTATCCAATGGGCAATGAGTTGTTGATTCCACAAATTGATGGCCCAACCATTATCCCAAATGCATCTTTGGTACGTGCATAAAGAAGACCCAAATCGTCAAGGATACAGAATGAGATGGATTGGGTTGAGTCTCAACCGACAAGCAGTCAGAGTAGATGTAGCCTGTGTAAGCAAATTGGTCACAACAAACGTACATGTCCTATGAGGATTCCTAATACAAGATGAATTGCGGAGGAAGCAGGGGAGGGGCTTAATGTTTTGGTGGTTTAACATTATAGGCATTTATGGTTTAAGATGCTTGTATTTGATGTCATGATGTTTGTATTTGAATGTAATGACGGTGCTATGTTTGTATTTGATGTCATGATATTTGTATTTGAAAAAAATGAACGGGTTGATGTAATGATGCTTGTATTAATAAATTATATGTGTTTAAATTGTTACAACGCAGATTTGGTGCGCATACACCAACGTTTTGACACAGTACGTAAACCATGTATGAATTTAACTTCATCTTAGTTTTTTGACTCGGAAATTATGCTCCCTAAGTCACACTCCCTTACACATGTTTAATCGACTAAACCAGTACAGGTTAATCGACTAAATTGTTGGTTTAGGACCCCAAATCTGAATTACACATGTTTTTTGCCCTTGGTTTCCACTCTACACTGATCCATTAAGGGAGTGTGACTTAGGGAGCATAATTTCCTAGTCAAAAAACCCATGTGGACATTAAATTCCTAAAACCAAGTCATATGTTGTCATAACGTTTGTTTACGGTTAACAATACAAGATGTAGCCTTTTTAAACACATATACTGATTTGCTGTGATGTGTTATGGACGAATGTGACCTGTTCAATATTGTTTTGTGCCGTGATGATCAAATTGCTAAAAAGGTTCCATTCATAAGTTATACAATATTGAAATGGAATTCAATTCATTACACAACATAACATAGATCCAAAAAACATAACAATTCTGCATTCATTAAAAAAAGTTACGGGACATCAACGACTTAAAGGAAATACATGAACAAAACATAATAACATGATGTAAACCCTAAATCTACTCCTCATCCCCATCTGTGTCCGTCTCCGAGTCGTCCTCATCTGACACATGACCCCCATCCCCTGCTGCCTCAGCTACCTCCCCACCTCTTGCAAGCTCCAGACGAGCAAGCTTGTCTTCCACACCCTTAAACCTTCCCTGTATGTGTCTAAACCTTTCATTCCCTTTCTTTCTCCATTTTTTATGTGCCAGCGCCATCTTTCCTATCTTCTTTGTCATTGCATTTATGCCCTTCATGACATCACGCAGTGAAAATCCACCTTCAGGTTCAGCTATCTCCTCAACCTCAACCACATCCTCCTCCTCCTCCTCCTCCTCCACCTCTGGCTCAACAATATGGTCATCTGTAGGGGTGTCAATATGGGTTTTGACACGCGGGTCAACCCGCGACACGACACGAAAATTCGTGTTCGGGTTGACCTGTAAAAAAATTCGTGTCGTGTTCGTGTTTATGAATTCGTGTTCGTGTCGACCCGTATTATTTTTAATTATTATTTTTTTAATTTTTTATTATTATTTTTTAATTTTTTATTTATTTTCGATCTATTTTTTTAAATTTTTTTGTCAATTACTGTTTTGTCCCCTATTTTGCGTGTTATTCGTGTCGTGTCAACCCGCAAAAAATCCGTGTCGTGTCAGTGTTGAAGATTTTGACACGAATGAAAATTCGTGTCGTGTTCGTGTTGATGTATTCGTGTCGTGTCGAATTCGTGTCGTGTCAACCCATATTGACACCCCTAGTCATCTGGGGCAACATAAGGAACCTCAACCTGGGGCATACCACTGAACTCCCACACACTCGATCTTGTGTTCTTAGTAATCTTGCACTGCTCTAATAGACGCTTTCCGAACTTGCAATTATAGCCCGTGGTCTTTTTCAACAGCTCAGTCTCCATGGGAACACCAAAGTGAACCAATATCCTCTGTACCAGACAGGCGTATGGAAGATGACCCTTATGTTTGGCCTTAAACATAAACCAACAGATATAGTGCCTCCAGTTCACCATCTGGGCATGTCGGATAGCCCACATAATGGGAATGTCATGTTCCAACACCCTGGAATGATTAAAAGATCGCGGAAACAGAACGTGGGTGAGGACATAGTGTAGTATACGGGACTCCACAGAAAGCAACCCCACCGTATAGTGCAAGTGTTCCCCACAGACTCTTCTCTGCTCCTGCACGACATCCTCTCGTACATATCCTGGAAGTACTACACCACTATCAGCGTCATACGCCACAGTCTAAGAAGAGTCAAAATCATAGCCGAGTATCTCCAACCATGCAGGTGCCGTCATGATGATCTCTATTCCACAGACCCTCGACTTCAGCTCGCCCTGTACGTAGCTGAGGTTATGGTAGAAGGCCCGCACCATAAGCTCTGAATACGGACATAGGGTCTCGGCCAACACCCTCAGATGTGCCGCCTCCAACACCCCCACAATTTCAAATCCCTCCTTATCAAAAAAGGCTGTATCCAAAGATTTTGGAGCACATAACGGCCGGTTCAAATGGTCACGTACGAATGAAGCGTGGACGACAGGGTCGTCCTCAAACAGATACCCATACGGGAGGTCAACAGTATCAGGCTCTTTGTCTTGTCGCCTTGACGAAGAAGGTCGCTCTTGCCTATGCTTGGTGCGTCTCTCAAGTGACTCATTGCCCTCATCGCTTGGTCTTCTGCGGCCCGTCATTTGTTTAGGGTACCTACAATGAAACATGTCAGCATTTAACTATATGAAACATGTCATGATGGTAATGAAAACTTGCAACATAAGGGCTGTAAACCAAAAGCAAACTTTTGCCACATACAAATTTTCCAAACAAAAAAATTCACACAATGCAAAAAAATAAACCTTAGTAGATTAGGGTTACAAAACCTACAACAAACGCTTTGATTAGAGTTCACAAATTCGGACAGCAAACAAATAAAAAAAATTCCTAAACCTAAAACACAATGCAAGTTAAGAAACCTTACCTATCCTTCAGATTTCACGATTTGGACCGTATTTGGGGGCAATCCACACGCCTGAGGGAAGGGTTTGGGGCGTTCTTCAGCTGCTCCTGCGAATTTGGGGTTTGGGCCGCCTCCTTAGTCGATTAGGTTTCCTACTCCCCCTCTGCCGAATGGGGGGTTTTTTAAAAAACAAATCTGTCGATATTTACTCGACTAAATATCCCAAAAATGTAGTCGATTAAGATGATTTTCTAGTCGACTAAATTTGCTGTAGTCCACTTTCTGAATTTGGCCATTTGCTCAACTAAAAAAGCAAGGTAGTTGACTAAAAGGGGGCAGGTTGGTGGATAGTTCTGGATCAAGGGCAAATTGGTTATTAATTAATTAATGAGGGACAAAATGGTCAAAAAGCCATATTAACATAGTCTTTCTATGTTAATATTGACGTAAGTCTTTTAATTGTTAAATTTTATGTAAAAAATAGACTATGTATTCTTGGATAAAAAAGATTATATTTACAAATTTTTTATTTACAAACTATACTGTAAAGAACCAATTCAACCCAAAAGCTTAAGCTGTTGGGTGAGGCTATATTAATGGCTTTATATATCTCAACACGTCCCCTCACACGAGAGCCCATTGGGCCTACCTGTGCTAAGAAATTTCACAAGAGAAAGTGGGGGACGACGAGACTCTGATACCATGTAAAGAACCTTGGGATACACCACTCCAAAAGCTAGCTCAAAGGGTGGGAGTGTCCAATGTCTTATAAACTCCATATTAGTTGCACATACAACCAATGTGAGACTATATATCTCAACATATACTATATCTTACCGGTAAAATATTCTTGTATGAAGTTTTATCAATAAGATATAATGTAATTTGTAAGTTTGTAAAAAATATATATTAATATAACCCTCCTCTTTTTGAATAAAATTCCCGTGATATTTTGATTGTTCTTTTAAAATATAGAATTGTGTAGGAAACAATTTTAAGTTTATCTTTTATTATTTTACGATTTAACTTCAATATACTATTAGTATGAAAAGTTATTTTACACGATAATCTAATAACATTGTTGACACATTATGAAATAATACTGCATATTTTAGGCTAGTAGTTACATGAATTGTCCATAACCATCTAGCTATTAAACATAACGTCTTAACTGAAAAAGGGGTCAAAAACTCAAACGGTTGAAACAAATGGTTAATTTGAGATGACTAATAGAACTGAAATGAAACTCAGCACTGATGTTCATATATATATTGCTTCTCGTTGTATTGCTATAATATTTACATATCAGCAAATAAGTGATATGTTTTGGCATCAAGAACTATTTGTCTAATTGATGCTATTCCCCCTATTACTACTAAAATTGAGGATACTACAGCAATCAATGTGTTCACCCAAAAGATCATGCTGTATTTTGATGGCTTGAAAGTCATATTGAAAAAAACCATTGGCAAAATGAAATCAAGAGGAATGCATCCAAATGCCCCAAACAAGGCCATTATATCTGGAAAGAATGGCAACATTGCTGCTAGAACCGTGGCTGCTGCCACTGACAGTGACCGAAATAGCACCCTTGGCACAACATTGCGAATGGAATATTGTCCCATTTTTGGGTCTCCAAAAGTTGATTCAAATAATTCATTTGTCGGTTGCAGATAAACCTGTAACATTTAACCAAATACATAGTTATTCATTAAGAAAGTGAAATGTTGTGAATTGCAAAATGGATCCAACTTTCTAAGTCTATGAAGTAGAATTGCAAAATTGAGAAATGTATATCATTCTTACAGCTGTCAAGGCAATCACTTGCAGAAGGATGAATATATTCGTCATAAAAAAAAACCATTTGGGCAGCAAAGGCTTTGTCTCACCAATGAAGTTAGCAAGAACTGTTGCATTGGATTGATTGCCAAATGCCCAATAACCTGAGATGGCAACAGTAAAATAGGTAGTGACTATAACAGAATAACAGATGCATAGTCCTTTCAACATTTTTCCTTTCACAGGAGGTGCCAAAGTTGCCTGCAAAATTGCAGAAGAATTGTATTTAGTTTTGAACTTACAAAAAGGATATCTAGTTGGTGCTTATTCTGTTAGAACTAAACAAAGTTGATTGCATATCCAATATTTGAACTTAACTAAGATGCTCAACTAACCTGTATTTCTGGAATGATTCCACTAGCATATGTGGTAGCTATGATTGAAATACCATTGAAGACACCAAAAAGTTGATCTGCAGTAGAACCTCTTACGGAATAATGTCTAGGTGACGCATTTTTTGAGTGACCTGTGGTAGATACAAGCAAGACATCAATTGGAATACAAGTTTCTGCTTATGCTGCCAATGCCATTATGTTTTCCTTTCCTTACCAATGTATATAGATCCAACCGTGACACATGTGGCATAAGTCACACAAAGAATCAAAGAAATCAGATTAATGTGCCTCAAGGAGTGAAAGGATGGAAGTTGAGCCAAAATCAGTGTTACGACCCCACATATAATAATAAATTGGTAAAGCTTCATTGTTCCTTCAGGGTTGTAGAGCATGTAAATGAACTGCACAGAGAAGAAAATGTAGCTTCTCAATAAAACAATTATATGGGGTTGGAAATTTTCAGAAGCTGTAAGGGGAAAATGACATTCTTCTATTACCTTGAGGCTCTTTCCTCCCACAAGAGGACCACCAATCACTGTGCCAAAGCATATGACAAATTGAAGTGGACCTACATAGTATTTGGCCCATCCAGGTCCTGCCACAACATTTGCTATCAATTATACCATCAATCAACTATGAATGCCCCAACCCATTTAAGGCACACACATCCTCCAATTAAGGGTAGTAACAATGGAAAAGAAAGGAAACTACTAGTCTCTAAAGGGGAAAAGAAAAATCAGATTCGAAGTTCAATATCAACCAAATTAGTGGATGTTAAGCACTGGTAGCTACTAGTGGTTATCCATCAAAAACAAAAAGCACTAGCAGTCAAAAATTTTCTGAAAATGCCTGGTAGCTATTGTTTATATGCAACAGAGTTTCAACCTAATTGATAACTTAAAGAGCCTGAAGCTTTTTCTTCAAAAGGCATACGCTTTTTTGAAAAGAAAAAAACAAAAGCACTTTCGGAGAAGTAACAGTTTCAACTTTTAAAACCTTAATAACATATTTTGAATTGAAAATGAAAGTTTCACATTTCATTACATAAAATGGTGAAAAGAATTATAAAAAGAAGGAATTTCAGATGAAAATATAGAATATGATGATATTGTGACCAAAACAAAATGATAATCTGTAAACAAAATGTGACTATTGTTCTTCCAATTAACCGAAGGAAACTAAAGAGGCTGCATATTCACCTAAAATATCTCTAGCCATATCCCTAAATCGAAGCTGGCGACGCCCAAGTTGTGCATGATGTTCTAAGACCAGAGATAAAAGGTTATATGAATAGAATGTTACAAGTCCTGCAAGGGTCAACCAAAGCACTCCTCCAACCCAACCCAGAAGAGTGAAGGAGTAAGGAAGAGTTAGAAGCACCGGAGCCACAATAGATGTCGTCAAATGATAACCACAGTGCCACCATGATCCTACACACATCACCATATAGTAAATTGATCAAGACCCTTTTCTTATCTTCATCTAAAAATCTGAAATTTGCTCATGAAAATAAGGGAGAAACAAAACTTTGTTTTTGTTCATTACAAACCATGATGGAAGATGGCAAAAAATGATTGAACAAAACTCAGATAAAGCTCAACAGGAAAAACATCCTCACCTCGAGATTTGAGAACAAACTTTGCCCCTGCATCTAGCTCCCTCGGAACAGAAGGGCTTTTTTGTATAGCAAAGCCCTTTTCACTGTCACTTGTATACACTTCCGAAGAGTTATGAAAAACAGTTCCCATCTTTTTGTCTGTGATATTATTGTTCTTCTGCAGATGTTTGATTTATCTGCAGCTAATATTCTAAATTCATATATGTACCTTGATCTAATAATAAGAATAGAGGCAAGTTGACATGATTGTTGAAAAAGACCGAAATTAGTTTAGGTGCAGAAACATGATTGAATCAGTATGGTCAAAGAAGCATAACTAAGGGTATTGGAAACTGTCTTGGACTAAATATTTTTGAATGTTATATGGGACAATGACCCAACACAAATATATGTAACAACTTGCTTCATGATTAGTTTATTAGGAAATGTTAAAGATTTATGCCATTGTAAGGTGGGGCTAGTGTGACATAAAGCATCAAAGGTGGCTCACTCTGAATATTGAAGTCAATTTAATCAGCTGTATTATATATGTATTTAACATATGCCAAATTCTGTGTATGTTTGTAACAAAAGTTGACCAGATCCAGCCTGTCCACATACCCATATTTCACACACTCTTTGAACGCGGGAACCAATCATTTTTCTATATTACTTGAGACTACATATTTACATCTTTGATTTTTTTTTTTTTTATAAATGATTTTATAATTGACTTGAATATTCTTTTTTTAATTATAAAGAAGTTATAACGTATACCTGTAGTTTATAAAAAAAAAAGAAAAGAAATTATAATGTATTTATATGATAAGAGAAATAAAAACAACGGTGGCTGTGACATTCTGTGCAGGTTATCCCAGTTATTAAATGACAACTATTCAAGCAGGTATTAGGAGTGAAATATGCTGTGTTTAGAATCATTTAGGGATGACTTAAATTTGTTTAATTTGATTTAGAAAACAAATACACTTAATAGAAACAAAAACTTTTTTGTATTTTATAAATGAATCTTGTTGTAGATTTGTAGAGCCCGGAGCTTTGTGACTCTGGTTGAGCTCTCGTTGACAATAATACGGCACTTTTTTCAAAATGGCAAATAAAAAAATTATTTATCAAAAAATATTTCAAAAGACATAATTTATTAAAATGGAATGGTTTTAACGCCATTATACGTGGTGTCCCTTATCTTAAAAAATAAAATAAAATAAAATTGAACCAATTATTATGTGGCGGTTATCAATTATCATGGAAGATATTGATTGATCCACGTGAAACTATAAGACGCATGTGAATTAATATATTCTCTAAATAATTTTTTTGTTTCAAACTCCTAAGTATCATAATTGAGTATCTAATTACAATTGTAGCATAGAAAATGGTGTAAACTGTAAACTGTTAAAAGGATATTTATGAATGTAATAGTTTTAAGGGTTTGATGTTTGTCATTTTAAATGACATAAGTTATGTCATTTTAAGAGAGAGATAGATACAGAAATCATGAGAGAGTGAGAAAGTTGGTGGTTTTTAATTTAAAATTCAAATTTTTTGTGTCTGTATCTCTCTTAAAATGACATAAGTTTCTCTTATTTAAAATGATAAATACTTTTCTCTAATTTTAAAGTGATAAACTGATAATACATAAAGTAAAGAAGCATCATCAAATTCTATAATATTATGTAATCAACAACAAAAAAATATTATGTAATCAACAACAATTAATTCAAGTGATAAATATTATTTCCACTCCGGAAAATAAATAAATAAATTTGAAAGAGTCATTTCTATAAGGGATTCAATTGTGTTTGAATTGGATTTGTCAAATAATTCATAAATCGATAGATGTATTAATATTAACATCAATAACATATTTATCCCAAATTAATTTGGGTTAGTGGTAGATCAACATAAATAAAAAATACGAAAATATTAAGAAAAAAGAATAAAAAATAAATAACAATAAAAAATAAAAAATAGCCATAAACAATTAAAAAGAATAAAATAAAATAAAATAAGAATAAGAATAAAATAAAAAAGAATAAAATAAAAAAGAATAAAAGAGAAGAATAAAACAAAGTAAAAATAAAAAATTAAAGAAAAAAAGAAATAAGAAAAAAAGTTATTTATAATTTTTTTAATTGTATTATTTATTGATTGATGCATCATGCATATGAATATAGTATGGGAAATATTACTCATATTTCAATATATAATTTTTTATTGGAAAAGGCTAGTGTAAAAATCAGTTAATGTTACTATCAATGTTATTATCAATCAATTTCACTGTTAGATCGATTATATAGATTCAACAGTTATATTTATTTTCATCTTTGTATGATTATGATTCTTCATATTTAATACTTTATATTTATTTTTAATTTTGTATGGTTATGATTTTCCATATTTAATGCTTTTACATTAAATATGAGGAATCATAACCGTACAAAAATAAAAATAAATATAACCGTTGGATCAACATAATCGATCTAACGGTAAAATTAATTGGTAGTAATATTAATAATAATACTACTTGGTTGTTACAATATCTACCTCTCTTTTATTTAACATTTTAGGAAAAGTGCCTTATAATACTTTTTAAATTCTAATTTCTAAAGGTTTTAAGTTCAAACTCCAGCGTTTCATTTTCCCCTTAACTAATATCATCCACCAAAAAAAAAAAAAAAAAACTCTAACTAATAATATCTTCGTTGAAGTTTCCTTGTGTGTCGGCTACAAGTCCACTGAACATTCTTTGCTACATCTTTACCTAAAAAGCATATCATATTCCAAATCATTTCGAATTAAACCTTTGAAATTAAAACTAAAAGTAATCTAGACTCGCATGCACATGCATAATTTTCTCCCATAAACAGTAGTAAAATAAAATAAAAAATAAAATGAATGAACCAGTTTGAAAAGTCACGCCCCTATAATGACACTGTACTTTGACTTTATAAAGATGAATAAGATTGATTCCTCGTCAGTCGTCACCAAAATTTGAATGCAGCAAGATAATTAGACAAAAAAAATATAATTATTTTCAGATGTTTGCATAAGATTTACAATACAATATAAAATACAGAGATCAAATTGCAAAGGGAAGAAGAAAAAGTCTTCATCCCAAAATACAGGAGAAGTCCTGTTTAATTATAATTCAAAAGTATGTGCAAGTATTTTTATTTTTTTTCGTTGGTAGGTAATATTTATTCTAACCATAAGCTCTCATTTTGATTAGTAATCTTCCTTATTGAGGGCATGCCTTCCTCTAATCCAAATTTTTATCTACTGAAAAATAGTTAGTGTGTTATCTGGTTCATCAAAACTACAATAAAATAAATGAATTAAGTAAACCAATTAATAATAGATATTGACCTTAATTAATTAATTTTTTTTTTTTTTTCAAATCCTCCTTTGTGGTGAATAGTTTTCGTTCATACTTTCAAGTTCAACCTAACTAAAGTCGAATCTTTTCTTTTCCCTTCCCAGTTAAAGTAAGATGCACTGAATGTTTGATAAATGCTTTCTCTAGAGAAATAACTTTTTTTTTATTCAATTTATTTAATTAAAAATTATTTTTTATCACGAATAAGCTAATACAAACAAGTATATGGTTTATTTAAAACGAAAGGACCAACAAATTTTGGTATAAAATAAACGGAGTTTCATTGACTTACCTGCAGCGTATCTTGAATGAAATTTCTGAAAAGCTCATGTTAGTCACACTTTACCAACCATTTAACCGCGCAATTCTTGACATTTTGCGGTGCTTACGAGTTATGTTGCTGTTGCTAGTTATCTAGATTCGTCAATTTGTCTTGTGAAAAAAGGTATGCAAGCACCTTTTCTCTGGAAATGGAAAGCTCCACAAACAACAAAAGTGCTTATGTTGATAAACCCAAAAAAATAAAGAGAAATGTTTTTCTCAAGTTACATAAAAAGTTTTATCTCATGTCACAGACACATCGTAATCCGAGCTAGTATTTTTTTTTTCTTTTCTTTTAACCGTGGGACCCATTCAATTATATCTCTACCTGAGATAATACTATCTCATGTAACATGAGAAAAACATCTCCCAAAAATAAAGTGATTATACGGAGGTAAATCAGGTATTAAGCTTGTCATGGTAAAGTGTTGACTTTCCCCTGTACAAATTAAAATGCAGTAGCTCGAGTTTTGTGTGCTCGCAGTTTTGTTTACAACTCAAGGAAAGGACAACTAATTCCTGCGAATAAATCTTTGATGCATACACTATTAGAAAAAATCTATGCAGTCACGGAATTTCAATAAAAATTTTCTCTCAAAATTCATGGTTAATTCAATTTCTCTAGTAAATTTCATTGTAAACCTCGTTTGCAAGGGAATCTGCAACAAAAAATAGTTGTGAGAATGAAATTAGCTATGAAAATTCCATAGTAATTTCATCGGTATACAGTTTGGGATTTTTTTTTTCAAAAGTAATAAATTTTTTTCCAAATGTGAAAAAAATATACCGATTGAATACATTTGATGCATTATCTGTACTCAGCTATTTTTATATTCAACCCAGACATGGCTTGATTTGAGTTTGATTTTTTTTTTTTGAAAATAACCATTTTTTTAAAGTTTTATGAAAAAACTTTTAATTATGGGTTTGATGTTTCTCATGTTGTAGGAGATAAAATTATCTCTTATATACATATAAAAGTGTATGAGATCCATGTGAATAGAATAGAGAAAAAAAGAAAGTATGGATCTCACACATTTTTTTATGTGTGTAGGAGATAATTTTATTCCCTATAACATAATATACATTAAATCCTTTAATTATATACTGTTCTGAATTCTAAATAATCTAATCAAACACGGCTTGATTAAACCAGGAAAATTAGGTATGATTATGAAAGACACAGCAACTCAAACAATTTCATTTTTTTCCTTCATGCTTTGATTAAAACGATGCAGCTATGCAAGATGACAATAGAGATGGGTGTAAATTGAGAATAAACTATTAGTGAGGGACTAAAATAGGAATTTTGTCCACATTTTTTTTTTTTTTGGTAACAAGAGAATTTTGTCCACATTTTGTTTCTGTGCGTTGTTGCCAAAATTTCATGCCTTGAGTTGGCTTAGAAGTTATGACTTATCTCTCCCATGAATGACGTTGTATTTTTGTTTGGGCTTCATTAGATCATTGACTTCGACTATATTTTTGTTGTCTCAACTCTCATCTCCTGACTCAATACTCACTCATATTTTATAACTTTTTAAGATTTTTATTATTCTAAAGTTCTGGGTTCTTCGAGTAGCAAGAGCTCTTCTTGATTTTTTTATCATAGGCTTCTAAATTCCTTGAAGACTTGATCAGGTGTAAGAAATCATGAGTTAACTGAAATAACCAGAGAGATAAACCATTAACTTAATGTTTGTAATCAATATTACACATAAGACTAAGTAATTTTATTTTATTTTTGGTGAATAAGACTAAGTAATTTAAGCATGAAGGTAACCGAGATTTCCTATTATGGGACGCATGAAGCTTTATTAATCTACTCGAATTTCGAAAAGGAATTTAAGCATTCATTCTTTTTCCATAGGATCACACAATTATAATGAAGCATCGACACTTCAAAAACTCTGACGTGTCGTGTCCGACACTTCTCGACACTCTAATACTAGTTGCAAAAACTCAAAAAAGATTTAAAGGTTATGTTGCGTTGCATTTTAAGTTCCAACTATTATATTCGTTGGATTACCATTACTATTTTATTGAGTTTAATATAAATATTTAGGATATCTTATATTTCTTTGCAAATTTAATGGGTATTATAAATTTAGCTTTATTTTTTTGTTAAATTATTGAATATTAAATATAATATACACAACATAAATTTAAAATATTATATAATATCAAAACGTGTCTTAACGTGTCAAAATTTAACATATTTTAGAATTAACGTGTTAGAGTATTGTATTGAGTCATATCCCGTGTTCGTGTCACTCTCGATGTAATATATATTATAACTCTGCTATTTCCTTTCTTCTTTTCTTTTTTTGGCTTTTTACTATTACATCTCTTCTTTTTATTTTCCTTCTAAATTATCAATCGAAGCCCAAATATTGTGAAGGTTGAGGCCAAGAGAAAATGGGCCATAGATTTATGGGTTGCATTTACTCAGATAAATAGGCTTCTTTCTTTTTTTCCGCTAAGCCCAAATTCTAAGAGCCTATAATCAACTCATTTAAATTTAAATGAAACAAATAAAATTGCTGCCAGCCCACTATGTTTTTTATTTTGAGGAGTCATTACATTTTTTTATTTAATAAATACAAAAAAGAAACAGAGTAATTGAGTTTTACAAAGAGAATCAGATTGTCCCCAACATTATTTTATCGTTGAAAAGTTTGATTTTGATTCAAGTACTGTGAACTTTATGATGTAAAGAAACGTCTTGATCTTAAACTTGTCGATGCTAAATACCACACGATGTTAAAAACATGCAATAATGATGAAGAATTAGGTGGATATTATCCAACTCGTAATGAGTTCAATCAAAAGAGCATAGAATTAGAAGCAAGGAAGATTCTGCCTTCTCATTAGTACGAGCTCATTTTGACTGTATCAGGAGTACATACTTCTTTGCCTAAAAAGAAATAATATAGAATATAGGTGAAAATAACTATAAAGATGAAGGTAATATAAAAATATTATCTTTACCATATTTAATAAATGATGGAATACTCACCACAACAAGAGTACCGAAAATATTTTCCATTAGTACATGTAATTGAAATGATCCCCACAAACTCAAAAGTACAAAAGCTATTCTTATGACAATAATGATAACTTCAAACAATCAATGGTCTAAACCAACACTAGAGTTCCCTTTAACATTATATAAAACATGTGTATAGACATATATCTTTATTGACCATTTCAGTTCTAATGACCGATTATCGGAATTGCATGGTTTATAGGATGCTTTTTCAAATAATGAATGCATGCTTTACATGTTGCCTCCTGTTTGTGAAGCCAAACCATTGGAAGCTGTTAACACATTTTGAAGGTATACTATTCATTGCTCTTTATCTATGCATATTGATCTTGTACTGTATTGCACCATGGACCATGGTTGTAGTTAAGTTCTTTAATATTATCCTAAACCAAGTTTTATTTTTTATATTACTCATATCGATAATGGATAATAACCAAATTGATAGCTTTTTAAAAGAATACATATAATCACCACAACTTGGAACCTCTTTCCAACGGTGATAGTCAACAGTTACAATCAAGCAAGCAAACCCATTAATTAGCAATAAACTTCCACGTTACGACAGAGAAAAAAATGTATCATAATCGAAATAAGGAATTAAGGATGGTGTTATTAACTTTTTCCCTAAATCAAAAGTTTTATTCATGTTATGTACTAAGAAAAAAGTTTATTGATTTTTTTTTTCATTTTTAATGATCAAGTGACTTGATATTAAAAAAATTTCATTACTAAAATGATATTACCTATGTCTTTAGGAACTAAGTGAATGTTTGTTTCTGTTTATTTTTATTTTTTTTAAAAGCTCTTTAAAAAGAGTAAAAAAAAATGATTATTTCTTCAAGAGAATAATGTCCCTAAATCCAAACTCGCATTAAACATCTTTTTTATACAAAAATACCAAACTTTGCTGAAAGGAAATAATGACTTGCTTTGTAGAAACCACTGCTCTATATTATAAATTATAATGTCCTGTTAACCACAAACGCTACTAGAATGTGACACTCGTTTCTGGTTTCAACTTTCAAGCTAGTTGTCTATAATCCATCTTATCATAATTGATTAATTGCTTTGCAATTTTTTATTTTTTATTTTCTTTGGTACAAACTTTGCAATTTCTTAATATAAATACTTTACACATTGTTCTTCTCTTATTGAAATCAAAATAGAGCAATGTCTAAGAAGTGAAAGACACCCAGATATTTTTCTTTCTCTGTCTCTCTCACTCATTGATAATAAACGAGTAGAGAGAACTTGAAAAGCATTGCAATATACGTTTGCTCCATTTGGTCACATTGGTTGTGACTAAATCTGGCACATGGAGCACAACTAGCTAGTTCAGTGGGTGTGCATATTAGGCACAGTGCTATTATAGTGCTCACTGACTCTAGCTCTTCCTTGTTGCCTTAACGTAACTCCTAAGCAACAATCAATGAATGACCAAAAGTGAAAACTACAAACCATTCGTGTTCTTTTCGCAAAGCCAACTAGAAACCATTACCTCCTTCTACAAAACACAAGCACAAATAGTGATATCACATTCTTTTATATAGTCACCATTCTAAGTGCACTTTGTCTCTCAAAGAGAAACCAAGAAAGCCCTTCAAATGGATCGGCTTTCATCAACAGCTTCGTTTGAAGGTGTGCATTATGGCATTGCAAGCCAAATGGGATTGGTTTGGCAGCAAGCCAGGGCACCCTTGATCGTTCCAGTGCTGAAATTGTTAGTGTTTTCGTGCCTATCCATGTCAGTTATGCTATTTGTGGAGAGAGTTTACATGGGTGTGGTCATAGTCTTTCTGAAGTTGTTTGGGCACAAGCCTGAGAAGCATTACAAATGGGAGCCACTCAGGGATGACCTTGAGCTTGGAAACTCTGCATACCCAATGGTTCTGGTGCAAATTCCAATGTACAATGAGAAGGAGGTGAAGTTATCCCATTTAATAAAACCTGTTATGACATAGATTGTTGCTTGAAATAGAAAATAATAAATTTTGCTGAAGTTAAGGTTTTTGTGGGTACTGTTCCATTGCTTGCAGGTGTATCAATTATCAATTGGAGCTGCATGTGGGCTATCATGGCCATCTGATAGAATTATTATTCAAGTTCTTGATGATTCAACAGACCCAATCATTAAGGTCTAATCATCCCCTACTAATAAAGTTAACTGATAATTTGCTTCTTTATCTTGCAATAGTTAAACAAATATTTCTATTTTCTTTTTCCCTTAGTCAACAGAATCTTAGCTAATCATCTAGGTCAATTTGCATGGAAGCATCTCCTTTACAAATTACATTTAATAACAAAACTACTTTCTGTCAGAAAATTCCAGGCTTCAATCTTAGCTCTTTGCTGTAAAAAATAACTAATGATTCTGGATTATTTATATTGACTAAAATCCATGTAAAAACTGACACAACAAATTTATACAGTCCCAGTTCTCTGACCAGAGTCTTGTGCTCACTTAACCTTTTTGTTTCTTTTCTTTTTACCAAAACACCATAGAATATGGTGGAAGTGGAATGCCAGAGATGGGCTAGCAAAGGCATAAACATAAAGTATGAGATCAGAGAGAACAGAAATGGTTACAAAGCTGGGGCTCTCAAAGAAGGCATGAAGCACAGCTATGTCAAACTGTGTGACTATGTGGCCATCTTTGATGCTGATTTCCAACCTGAGCCTAACTTCCTTTGGCGAACCATTCCATTCCTTGCTCACAACCCAGAAGTTGCACTTGTCCAAGCTCGATGGAAATTCGGTAACTTTGCTCATTAAAGTTAAACCTTCATAAAGCTCCTTAGTGCATGAATGCTTTAGAAATTAAAAAAAAAAAAAAAAACTGATTTCTCATGCACCTCCTTATTTAGTGTCAGTGCTTTGTAGAATAAAAGTTAATTACACTCAATCAAATCAACAGTTTTGTTATAAGGACTGATACTGATGTCTTCTTAGCTACGAAAATCTAACAAAACAAATTGATTCCGCTTTAGATGCCATGAATTTGTCACAGTGTAGAATGCAGTAGATGCATTTGGGAAGGTATGACACTAATACTCCTTGTTTATTGCAGTTAATGCTGATGAATGCTTAATGACAAGAATGCAAGAGATGTCATTGGACTATCATTTCCTTGTAGAGCAGGAAGTTGGGTCCTCAACCTATGCCTTCTTTGGCTTCAATGGTAAATCATTTCCCTACTATTACTGATTGATAGATTTAGTAAAACGAAAATTGTAGAGATATATTTCATTGGGTAGAACCAGTCATGTGAAAGTAGATGATATGGTGCAGGCACAGCTGGTGTTTGGAGAATTTCAGCACTAAATGAAGCTGGTGGTTGGAAGGACCGCACAACAGTGGAAGATATGGACCTGGCTGTACGAGCTGGTCTCAAAGGCTGGAAGTTTGTGTATCTTAGTGACCTTAAGGTATCATTGAATCACACTTCAAGTTTCTGTTGAGTCTTTTTTCCTATACTTAATTTAATTGTTTATTTTATATAACAACTTATCTAAATAAATTTAGGTAAAAAATGAATTGCCTAGTACCTTCAAAGCCTACCGTTATCAGCAGCACAGGTGGTCATGTGGTCCAGCTAATCTTTTCAGGAAAATGGCAATGGAAATCATAAGAAACAAGGTATCAGTTTCCTTGTAATGTTCATAATTTTGTTTTAAGAAGTCAAATTTTTATTATCCATCTTCTCCTCTAATTCCTGTTTTACCATATTGTGCAGAAAGTTTCCCTGTGGAAGAAGTTTTATGTGATTTATAGTTTTTTCTTTGTCCGGAAGATTGTAGCCCATGTGGTCACATTTGTATTCTACTGTGTCGTTTTGCCAGCAACTGTTTTAGTTCCAGAAGTGGAAGTCCCCAAGTGGGGTGCTGTCTACATACCTTCTATCATTACACTCCTTAATGCTGTTGGAACTCCAAGGTAAGCATTTTAAGTTGGCAAAATTTTGCAGGCAAGGTTTTCTTGTGTTCATTTGTAAGTAACTTTTCATATACATTTTGTGCAGGTCACTTCACTTATTGGTATTCTGGATACTTTTTGAAAATGTTATGTCAATGCATAGGACCAAAGCAACACTTATAGGTTTGCTAGAGGCAGGGAGAGTAAATGAATGGGTAGTTACTGAGAAATTGGGAGATGCTCTCAAAACAAAATCTGGTGGCAAAGCAGCTAGGAAGCCTCGTATCAGGATTGATGGAAGGTGAGTTTTCAATACTTATAAGAAGGATAGTCTAATTTTGCTAACTTGCCATTATTTATAACTGAAAATTTAACTAGAGATTACGATTATTATATCTGTAGTCCCATAGAATGAACAACGTAGACATGAGTTCAGTTGATTTCCTTAAATTGGAATTTGGTGTATGCATTTTGCATGATAGCAGTCATTCTGTATACACCTTAAAATGTGTTTTTTTTTTACTAATTAGCATTAACTATTTCACCTTGTCTACTTGTTTGTTGATGATGAACAGACTTCATTACCTGGAACTTGGGGTGGGGGCCTATCTTTTTTTCTGTGGATGCTACGATCTTACCTTTGGCAAAAATCACTACTTCATATATCTTTTCCTGCAATCTATTGCCTTCTTCATTGTGGGGGTTGGCTATGTTGGAATCTTTGTTCCGAATTCTTAAGAGGAGCTCCAGCATCAGAATTGTTTCAAGTGTATGTCATTTGGTGTCCCATTCACTAAACAAAGGAACAAAATGCAGTTTCTTCTGCTGTCAGCTGCCATTCAATTTTAGTTCTATACATTATTTTACAACAATTATTTGTCACACTTTGAATTGTTTTCTCATGGAAATAGACAAGGAAGACAGATAAATGAAACAGCAAAAGTTTGACTATTATTTGAAATGCCTTAGAAAGAACAATCAATGAATTGGAAATTTTGGAATTTAGAAGCAAGTAGAAACAGCTTATGCTTCTCTTCTTCCCTCTACTTCTGGCTTTCAAGTTCCGAGCCACAATCCAAAATCTCCTCTCCTTGAAAATTCTTGAGGTCTTCAGTAAGATCCCAAAAAGAATCTCCTAAAACAAGTTGTATGACTTATTGACCTTTTCTCTCAAATATAGCTGAAGCCTGAAGTTCATTCAAAATCCACAATTTACTAATAGATGTGAAAATGGAAAGACCTCAAATAAGATTCTTGATTTATAATTAAGAAATCAGTATTTGCACATACTATACGAAGTATATGTAAAAGTTTATATTATTCAAAGCATAAAGTTAGAATAAAACTCAAAAGTGCAGAAAAATATGTAAAATACAACTAGAAATTCCAGCCTCTCCAGCAGGAGTTAACTTATCATCTTCTGGCATCTTCACAACTTTCTAGGACTTCTGATGGAGGTTACCATGATGTAAGCTGCCATCAGTTGATGTCTTGGCACTTCTAGATTAAGCTTTCAGCGAAACTCATCATATCAAACGGGACCAATATACTTTTCTAATCCACATGCATATTGTTTCAAGCAAAAGCATTCTCAGCGGAATGGAATCTTTGAGCTAATGGCCTAACATGCATGTTTATGAACTGATTGGATAGCATAATCGACTACTTGAAACTCAGGTGGGGCAAATGTACCTAAATACAGCCTCAAATAAAAAGTTTTGATTGAGTCCTTAAATGTTCAAATTGTTCTTAAACAATATACTACTACGGATAATGTTGGATATTATAAGTTCATGTCAGTCTTATCACTTAATTCAATTGGAAAAGGTGAGAGAATTTCTAATTGCGATAATGTCCGAGGAGTTGGTTTCATAGTAATGCCTATACGGATAAAATAAAATAAAAAATCATTTTTACATCTACAAGGTTAAGATAACACTTTTTTGGCATAAATTCACACAAATAACATGCACCTAGTTTTAGCCTCTTTCTTTGTGTATCTACAAGTTGTGCGCATAGCATTAGCCTTAGCCTTAGCCTTAGCCTTAGCCCGTTACTAGTTCTACACATAAAAGAGTCACAGAAACGAATTTCCAGATCTCATTTCAGCACCATTATATTAACCTGTTTGCGCAAGTCAAATACCATCTAACAATACCAACTATATTTTTTGTCTCTAAAAGTTGTCCATATAGAATTATTCACAAGAATAAATTTTATCTCAACCAATTTTCCAAAAAAGCTTAAGCTATTAAGTAAAAAATCGTAAATGATTTTTATGATTAACAAATTTAAATTGTTTTATTTAGCTACAGTGAGTTCATAGTACAGTTGCAGCAAGTTGTAGAAATTATACAACTAAATTAGTATCCTATGATTTACAAATTGTTAAAAACACTAGAGTACTAGAAATTTTAAGAAGTTTAAAGGAGATGTAACATTAAAAAAATGGGGGTGAGCAGGTGGCATTACCTGGATATAATAGAAGCCACAAATATTGAGAAGGAACATGAATCGTCACTTGCAATTACCTGTCTCCACCATTGATCAAGAGTTCATTCAAAGAGATACCAGAAAAATCTTATAAATAAATGCCAATTGACATCATTCTTACTAAAGAAATTATCTATAATCTAGGTCACAAATCAAGAGCAATCTGCACTACATATATCTAGATTGAGCTTCCCAGAAGAAGCAAGGAAATGGAAAGGAATCAAAAGAAAATCTAATGGAGGAAAATCCTACATTGGATTTTACTATCAAAACAAAAGGAACATTATATGTTTACTATAAAAAAGAGGAACCCATTAAGTTGATACCACTGTAGCATTTTGTGTTTTTGGCACATTAAAAACATCCTCATTTACAAAGGGGGAGGAGAAAAACAAAATTACCATGGAACACAATTATTGAGGAAATGGTGAGAAAGTGATTTTTCTGAGAAAGTTAAAAAAAGTTGTTTAGTAAACCGAAATATTATCGGAAAAGTTTTGGTGTAAAATTGCTATAAGTTTGAGTTTGCTGGGAGAATCAAAATACCACCATCAAGGTGTGTAATACCCCATATTTTCTTTTAATAAAATAATAATAATAATATAATAATAAATATTTTTGGATAATAATGATATTTAGTATTTTTGTAATTAATAATATTGGTATTTAATATTTTTAATTAATGAGTTAATAATAGTTAAAATAATAAGAGGTAAGATAATAATAGTAATATTATTTGATTTATGTGATAATATATAATTATATATATATATATATATATATATATATATAGATGATAAATTATGATTAATTGATTTATTAATTGATTGATGATTTCTGTATTTATGTTTGATTAATAATGATTGATTGATAATGTTCGATTGATAATGTTCGATTGGTAATGATTGATTGGTAATGTTTGATTGGTAATGATTGATTGGTAATGTTGATTGGTAATTTGATTAGATATGATGAGTCAATAATGAGTCAGCATTGAGTCAGTAATGTATAAAGCCAATATCTGAGCCAGATACATTAATAAAGAAAAAGGAAATAAATGCACGAAACCCATATCTGAGCCCAAAACTTCAACTATAAATAGAGGTCTAGCCTAACCAAACTAATTCACTCTTCAACATTTCTCCTCTACTATTCTCTCTTCTTAGTTCAAAAAACTTAGTTTAATTTATTTTATATTCTTCTGGTTACCAACTGGTTCTCTGCCCCAAATTACTCTTTTCTTCTAGAAGTTAGCGAAAACGGAGACCAGGTAATCCTAATCTCTAGAGAGTCATAGGTTATATTGATATGAATTTTGATATATGTAATCCTAATCCCTAGAGAGTCATAGGTTATATTGATATGAATTTTGATATATGTAATCCTAATCTCTAGGTGTTCTTAGGTTAGTTTTATATGAAATTATTTATATCACGTTTCTTAAATTCGAATTATTACATGTGATATTTAGGAAATTTTTATTGAAAAAAAAATAATAGAATTTTTATTTTGAGAATAAATGGATATGATTGAATTTTCATATTTTATGATTGAATAATTATGATAATTGATGTGATGTGATTGTATGAATGACGATGATTGGATTTGGATTTTTCTACGATGAAAGTTGAAGATTTGAATTATTATATCCTTGAATAAATTGGAAAGTTATGATGAGGATCATATTTGGATTTTACTGTGATGAATGTTGAAGATTTGAATTATCATCTCCTTGAATAAATTGGAAAGTTATGATGATGATCGGATTTGGATTTTACTGTGATGAATGTCGAAAATTTGAATTATCATATCCTTGAATAAATTGGAAAGTTATGATGATGATCGGATTTGGATTTTACTATGATGAGTGTTGAAGATTTGAATTATCATATCCTTGAATAAATTGGAAAGTTATTATGATGATCGGATTTGGATTTTACTATGATGAATGTTGAAGATTTGAATTGTTATATAAATTCAAAAATTTATGATAATAGTTGTTTGAATTATGATACTTTGGAAAATTATAATGCCCTTGAGTAAATCATTTAGAGATGATGATACTTAAAGAATAAATAATTATGATTGAATCTTTCCTGATTGTGTTTGTTTGTAATAAATTAATGGTGGGAGGATAGCTTTGGGACGGTACCTCCCAAGGTGATGAACACAACTTTTGGGCTTTATGCCTCCGATGTGAAACTGATGTGAAAAAGATTATATCCGTTCTTCCCAAAGTGGTATCTGGTAACAGTGGTTTTTTCCCGGGGTACTAGCAGCAACTTTGGGAAGAGGTGTGCACACTAGGAAGATGTGAATTGATTATGGCCAATTTTGATTATACGTGGCTGGTAACAGTGGTTTTTTCCCGGGTCACGAGGTAGACTGGCAGGGTTTCCCGGGTCTACCATGGTTCTCTTCCCACTAAGTACAATGAACTTAAACATGATTAATAATGAAACGTCATTTGATTTGATTATGATGAATGTCATTGAATTGTGAATATTACCATTTATGTAATATTATGATTAATGTTGTGCTAAATATGTTAGTTGACAATTACCCTTATACACTAAATGGACTAAATAATCTTAAACATGATTAATAATGATATTAATACTTGATTTGAGTTATGATTAAATGACTTATTTGAATTATTGCTTGATTTATGATTAAATTTCTTATTTGAATTATTACTTGATTATGATTAAATGACATATTTGAATATTGCTTGAGTTATGAATAAATGACATATTCGAAATATTAATTGAGTTGATTATGTTGATTATTCTTAAATAAATGTCTTGATTGATATTGGGTTATATTATCCTCGTTTTGTATCTTGATTGGGATTACCAGCTTTGCTGACTTTCGTGTTTGTTGACTGCAATGATCCTGCGGCCGCGGGGGAGCAGATTTTCAGTAAATCAGGTTGCAAGGATGGGGCTAGCATTGGGCAGTGAGGATACGACTCAGGATTTCTAGCTGTAATAAATATTATGTATAAAAAAAAAACTGTAGTCTTAGATTTTTATTTGAATGTAATAGAGTTAGCCTTGCACTTGTCCCTGTACAGGTGCGGCGGTAGCACTTCCCAAATTCGATTATTTTGAACTTCCGCTGTTATTTATAAAATTATTGAATTTATTTATGCTATTATAAATTGTTAGAATTTGGGGTGTTACAAGGTGATATTCCCAAGTGGACATTTTTTTTTTCATTTTTACACTACAAAAAATTTTCCC